ATTGTTTGTGTTGTCTTTTTGTTGTCCTCTATCTCATTTTATTTTTTTATTTGTATTTTACATTCTATCTGGTCTTTTATTATTTTCTTGGAATTGTATTTATCTTTGAGCACTGTCATTCATGTTTGTTCATCTGTAAAGCCCACTGAGACAAACTTGTTTTGTGTTTTGATTTAAACTTTGATTTGATAACGTGTTTTGTTTTGTAGTCTGACCCAGAAGTTAGCATCACAAGGGCTCCCAGAAGTTAGCATCACAAGGGCTCCCAGAAGTTAGCATCACAAGGGCTCCCAGAAGTTAGCATCACAAGAGGCGCGTTCACACCGGAGTACTTTGGTGTACTTTTCCCACAATAGTTCATCAGAACTACGATATATTTGCGTTCACACCAAAAAGCCCCAGGAACTAAAGTAGCTCAAATGAGTTCGTCCGACCCGCTTTTCAGCCCCTGCTACAGAGCAGGGTCTGTTGTGGGAGAAAATAGTTCGTACGTCTGATTGGCTGTGCGGAATGCAAACCACGCCCGTTTGACTTTTTTTTTGGAAGCGGCCATTGTATTTGCTCGTTTACCCGAAGAGATTACTTTTGTGAAAGCAGTTATTATAGCAACACTAAATAAATCATCGGAGCGGTGGAATTGATGAGGATGTCTCGGCGCTTCTGGCGAGTTACTCGGAGGACGCGAAGTGCGGCATTCAGAAGCTTCTACTGCATGCAGTTTCAGTGGATCAGCAAAGTTAGCAGACCTGGCAAAGTCATGTCGTGACGACTACGAAGGTAAAATAAAATACATGCACTGCACTGTTTTAATCTGCACAATACTGGTCTTAGATGTACTTTTATTTGCTCAGTAGATCGAGCTAGCCATGCTAGAACTTGCTAACGTTAGGTCCAAGCTGGCTAACAACATCTAGCTAGCTAGCTATTCTCAGCCGTGCCCGCTATGAACACGTATTGACTTGTGAATAAGTGTGCAATGTTCTGTAATTTGCTTCACTAACTCATGGCACTAATCGTGTGTTTCAGGCGAGGTGTTTCTCTCAGGATTAGAAACTAGTTTTCCCCTCCGGGATAAAACGATAATATAACGTTAGCAATTAGCATGCTAGCTGGACCTCTGTGGCTACACTGAATGCATAGAGGTAAACAATAGATTGTAGTTGCTATAATTTCAAGTAATTTGCAACATTCATTCTACATGTTAATGGTAAAAGCTTAAACAGTTGATTACCTGCATGCCACAAAGACTGATGTTCTAATATTTTTGCACATTTAAGTAGAAATGTAATTGAAATTCTATTTACTGCCTAAACATTGTTCCTTGTATTATCCTAAATAGTTTGACCTTGTTTCCTCAGAAGGCTTCTCAGACTACATGGAGGATCCCTCAGAGAAACACAGTTTCCACGTTCAGTTCCCCCCCGCTGAGAGTAGGCAGCTCCACACCCTGTGCCCGGTCAGCGGACACCATCAGGACTACCATCCTGACCGCTGCTGCCATACTGCAGCAAACAGGAGGGAACGGAGGTGAAAACACACTTTATACATTTAGATATGTGGAGCACAAAGAAAAGCATTGCTAAAAAACATTTAGCAGCTAAACTGTGGATAACAAGTAAACCACATTGGTTTGTTATTCAATATTCAAAAGCTTTTTGAATCATTACATGTCACTTGTTAGACGCTTTTATCCAAAGCTTACATACTCAATACTGTGGGCAATCCCCACAGGAGCACTTTGGGGTGAAGTGTCTCAGGGACACAACGACATGCTGACTGCAGTGGGGTTTGAACCTGTGCTCCCCTGATCCGAACACCAATGCACTTATCCACTGCGCCACACGCCTCCCTATCATGTCCTGAGAGCCCTCCATCCCCCAATTGCTAGTGCCTTCACCATTTAAAATGTTAATAGTCAAATCAAAGGTGTTCCCCGTGTTCCTCCTGTTGTGTGCCTGCAGAGACAGATTTGGACAATGTTGTCTCGTTGTTGCGATTAAACTGATCTTGTATCTTGCATATTTCACCTTAGGAAAGTGGGCACGCGATGACAGCTTCCTTGACACCATCATGGCGATGGACCGCCGTGCCATGGTCAGCAAGGAGAATGAGGACCTGCGTGCCAAGGAGATGCACGACGAACGGCTGCTGCATTCACACAAGGCCCAGGAATCGAGGTGGAGCAACAAAATACCTTTCTGGCTGGGCTTCTGGCAGTGCTAAGCGAGCTGATTAAATCCAACAGGCCTTCAATACAAAAATTAAGAAAAACTTGTCGTTGATAAACTGTACAATGACTTGTTGGGAGGCGTGTGGTGCAGTGGTCTGGTGCGTTGGTGTTCGGATCAGGGGAGCACAGGTTCAAACCCCACTGCAGTCAGGATGTCGTTGTGTCCCTGGGCAAGACACTTCACCCCAAATTGCCTACACCTGGGACAGTTAATTTTGTATTATTGTGATTATATATATATGCCACTGTTATTAATACTGACACCTAACTTTGCACTAAGGCTGCTGAGCCTACCTATTGTTATTATATATATTTATATATATATATATATATATATTGCCACTGTTATTATATTGTTTTGATACTACTGACACTTATTGATCTACTGCTGATAAATAAAAGAGAACCTACATGCACGGCACTAGCATCATGACTGTCTTTGTTTAAACCAGCAGCAGTGCAGCGGTACACAGACTAACCTGTGTGTGTGTAACGTAGTTCTTCAGGTGTGCATGCTTAACATGTATGTTAACATGTATGTATACAAAAGTTTTTAAAGAGCTTTCAACCTCATCCCATTGTCTTTAACACACATTTAACATAATATACTCATTAATATACAAATATACAGTATGAGTACTGTTTTGATACTGACATTTAATCTTTGCACTAAGGTGTGTCTGCACTATTGTAATTGTGTCTGTTGACTGGTAAATAAAAGAGAACCAAATGCACTGTACAAAATATCAGCTTTATTGTCAATTTACAATTTCCATGCTGTTCAGATGCCTCTCCACAACGTTGCTTCCAGGCGAATACAGAGGAGTTGAAAAGAGCCCTTGGACATTCGGAAATCTTCGATCCACTGCACATGTTGGCACCACCTCCCACCAGGCCGACGTTCTATTGTTCACCCAGAGTTCCGTAGTATTCGCATATCTGGAACACATACAAAGACACAAATTAGCCCTACATAACTCCATAAATCCTACATTAGATAGTATTAATGTGATTTAATGAACGTACCATTGCTGTTCTTTGGGCGTGATAACGGCCATCATCCTCGGCTGTACAACGGCGAAACATGTCCATCGCGTGTGATTTCGTCGTCTAATCCTTTTGTTAAGGCTTCTTAACCGCCTTCGCCTCCGACTCAGCATGTCTATTGCATTTGAATGGTCGATCTGTATTTGTATTTGTGGCTGAGTTATTGGCTTAAATAACTCCGTTACGAAGCTGTATAACACGACCACCAAAACGTCAACTCCATACCGTGTCTGAGGTCGGAAGGTAAACAGAAGCATACAGCGGAAGCGGAAGTTTTTTTTCTTCTTCTCTCGGTTTTTTGGCGAATTGCAACTTTAAGGTGCATACCGCCACCTACTGTACTCGCCGTGAAGTTGTTTGCGGCCTGCCAGCAAAACCAAAGCAGAAGAAGAAGAAGTGACGTCAGCGGCTCATTTGCCTAATCCACCCCCAGGAACTCATTTTGGTGTGAACGCGATCTGCTTTAGTTCGTCAGAACTAAAAGAACTCTCATGAACTAAAGTTCTCATGAACTACTGTGGGAAAAGTACTTGGTGTGAACGCGCCTAAGGGCTCCCAGAAGTTAGCATCACAAGGGCTCCATAGACAAACAGCTATGGGGTTTCTTCCGTTTTAAGATCTGTGGCAAACAGGATAATCAACAGGATTATCTTCATATATCAACCCGACTTTTATGATTATTGAGATGTATGCTATCGCAGAAGTAAATAGCTAACTGCTCTAAACTTCATACGGAGGCATGTCTGCCACCGCTAAGCTAAAGGTGGCTAATATTCAGCGTGATAACATTTAGTAGTCTCATTTAGACACTTGTTAGCAACCGAAGTTTCTATGACACAAAAACAGCTTCAGACATTCACCAGTGGGGTATTTACTGATGTATTTTATGTTGTAGAACTAAATGTTAAAATCTCTTCAGCTTGTGTTAACCACATACATTTTTCTCAGGCTTCTAACCAAAAACATGCTCAAAAAAACATTGACTTTGAGACGAGGGAACCAGAAGTGGTAAAATGCTGACTCATTACCGGGTTTTATAACTCATGCCTGCACAAAAAAAAAGTGTTTTGTTTGTTTTTCTCTCAGAATAAAAACTGAAACATTGACTTTAATTAAATGTATTATGTCAACAGATTTCACATAACTGTATTAGGTTAGTTGAATCAATAATATTAAGTTAAAAAAAAAAGGGTCTCAACTTAATATTATTGCTTTCATCTAACCTAATACAGTTATGTGAAATCTGTTGACATGATACATTTAACTAAAGTCAACGTTTCAGTTGTTTCAGTGAGAGCTGGTTCCTCAGAAGAGGAGATGGTAGCTGAAGAGACTCTAGCCATAACACTGGATACTTATAAAGTGTTATAATGTGGGCATGTAGGGAAGTACACAGATTACATTTAGTCTAATCAATGTAACAACGCCTTTTTATGTACTGTAGTTTGTGATCCTTTTTGCACTGTGGGAAAGAAATGATAAAACATTTTCTAAATGCTGGAGCTCCATACTCAGCTGAAACTCTACAAAAAAACAACAACAACACAACAATGCAAAAAATAAGGATGACATCACTATGGAATACAAACTAATTTAGCATAATTGACCAAAGATCGTTCAGTCATTTAACTGAAATAATTGATGGTTTAATTACCCAGCAGTATAGCTGTAAAACAAAGAGGTGATTTTAACAACAAGTCCCTGTTCTGTTCCTCTGTCACAGGATGGAAGGAAACCTTTCTCTGTGGGTCTCCACCCCCGCGGACCCTCTAGAGACCTTCTCCATCCTCAACTCGTCTGGTCACCCCCCTCCGCCCTGGGAAGCCCCCACCTTCACGGTGGCTGCCCGCTGCCGGGTGGCAGCCACCATGGTGCTGTTCCTGTTCGCGGCTGTCAGTAACCTGTCGGTGCTGATCAGTGTGTGCTGGGGGCGGGGCTACCGCCTGGCGGCACACCTCCGCCCACTCATCGCCAGCCTGGCCTCAGCTGACCTGGTGATGACCTTCGTGGTGATGCCGCTGGACGCCGTCTGGAATATAACGGTGCAGTGGTATGCTGGGAACATCATGTGTAAGCTGCTGTGTTTCCTCAAGCTGTTCGCCATGCAGGCCGCAGCCTTCATCCTGGTGGTGGTGAGTCTGGACCGGTACCGGGCCATCCTCCACCCTCTGGACTCTCTGGACGCCGGGCTGCGGAACAGACGCATGCTGCTGGGGGCCTGGACCCTCAGCCTGCTGCTGGCCTCTCCACAGGTACAGCTGCTGGTACACACTGAGTCTGAAGGCCAGCTGTGACATATCTCACAGAAGAAACTCAAACAATGCCTTTAATTACAGTTGTTGTGTCAACTGATTTCCCATAACTGTATTAGGTTAGTTGAAAGCAATAATATTAAGTATGAATACAAAATAATAGGTTAAACTTAATACTATTGCTTTTAACTAACCTAATACACTTATACATGATACATTTAATTAAACTCCACGTTTCAGTTTCTTCAGTGTAACCTTATACAGCCTAATTCTTTGCATTAACATGAGATTGGATTATATTTTTACTAATATTAGATTTAAGAGCCGTTAAGATGCTTATTGACTATCACATTATTATGTGCACAGACATAGGAAACGTTTTTCACCTGCTTATCACGTTTAAAGGTTACACGTTATCTATCTCATGTTTAAATACAACCACCATTCATCAGAGTGGCACTGTGTTGGAGCCCTGAATGAACTGAAGTGAATTCAATGTTGTACAACACCTTAAATATGAATCTCAAGTTGCAGCAAGAATCATGTGACAGCTGATTGGTTGTACGCTAACTGGACAGAACACTTTCATTTAGTGCTTCTAATTCCACAGCATGAGAAATATTGTCAGTGACATAGATAATGAGATAATGAGTTTCACCCAATCACAGAGCTATACAATATGCAGATGGTAGAGCAGCTCATACAGTTATTTGCAAGAAGAATGTTACAAATAAAAGGCAGATGGTAAGAAATCTATAGGTCGTCAGAAACAACATAATGGGGAAAAAAGTCACAAAAAACTAAACATTTCTCCAAACGTATAGCATGTCTTTCATTAAAGGTTAAACCGTGGTAAATCAAAAAGGCCAGTATTGGCTGAACGTCTGCTTTATAAATCCTGCTCGAACTATTCAAGGAGGTAAAAGAAACGACAACATCAAATCATTTTTTCTAAAAGCCCATCAGTCTATCGTGAGCAGTTTAAACAGCTTTATACTACATGTGATGTGTGTGTCTCTGTAGCCATGACAGGACATTGGGGTGAAAACCAAATGACTGAAATGACTGCACTTACACTCAGGGCTGTTTTGGTTGTTGCTCACAGTCATTTATACAAATTGCTCTCATTTAATGAGCCAGCAGGGTAAAACACTGCTACCTACCTTATGTCTGAAAAAATATATATAATTATATATAGAAGTACTCCAATTATTTAAAAGTATCAAAGTATTGGCATATACATATCATTAGTATCTAAAAGTAAGTAAAATAAACATTATGCGTAATGGGCCATTTCAGAATGATATATTTTAAATAAACAGATTATAATTTTGATACCTTAATGTGTTCATCACAGCTGATACAAGTGGAGTTCATTGTAATATCTTAATATACTGCAGCTGGATATCTTATCTATGATTATCAACTGATGTATATCATTTTTTATTATTAGCTAATAATGTGAATCTGTAAAGTAACTAAAGCTATAAGACAAATGTAGGAAGTAAGAAGTACAATATTGGCTGAAAAATGTATTGGAGTAAAAGTATAAAGTAGCATAACATGAAATACTCAAGTAAAGTACAAGAATCTGACAATTGTACTTAAGTACAGTAAATGTACCTCATTACATTCAACCACTGCAAATCAGACACATGTTATTAGTACAGCCTAATATCACACATTTGTCAACACCTTAGACCCTCGCATCGAACAAGAAAAAGCTCCCAAAGAAACCCCCCGGTTACCGGGGAAGAAACCTCAGGAGAGCAAGGAGGGGTCACTCAAACCCCCTTTGAGCAAGTGCAACATTAAAGTGAGGAACACATGAATGCACCAATAACTAATACACAATCATTTAAAATATATGGCGCTTAAAGTACATTTTGATGATAATACTTTTTTAATGCAGGACTTTTACTTGTAACAGCGTATTTTCACACTGTAGTATTGTTACTTTGACTTTAACTGGTTACTAACTCTTTGTGTCCTTCTGTGACGTCTCTGTCATCCACACTGTGATCCCAGCGCTGCCACTAACAGCTCAGGTTTAACTGCTGTAACCCGCCTGCTTCTGGAAAGACTAACTTTAAATGGAGCTCTGCAACACGGGGACAAAGAACCTCATGACGACCCTCATGCATCATGAAGTTCTTTGTGTCATTTGTTTAATGCAAACAAATAGAGACAAAGTTTGTTTAATGAAAACAAACTGCACATGTGTTTTTCTGTGACTGCATGAATTCATTCCTCATCTCTGTACACTCTCTTCATCCTCAGCTGTTTATCTTTCGGGCCATTAAAGCCGACGGAGTGGACTTCACTCAGTGTGTCACCCATGGAAGCTTCCCGTATCTGTGGCAGAAGACGGCATACAACATGTTTCACTTTGTGACGCTGTATGTCTTCCCTCTGCTTGTCATGACTTTCTGCTACACCTGCATCCTCATCAGAATCAATGGGCAAATGCACAAGAGCAAAGGTGTGTTACTCTGAAGCAGTGATGGAGGTCTGATCCTACATTTAGTTTTTATGTACTGTAGTATTTGACCTGAGGGATTATATAATTTAGCTAAATGCTGGAGCTCCATAATTACTCAGCTGAAACTCTGCAAAAGAAAATAAGAATGACATTATTATGGGATACAAACTATGCTAGCATCATTGACCAAAAAGTACAATTTAACTCAAATGATTGCACCACCCAGCCAGTGTGTGTGGCTGCATCCACTGTCCAGGGTTTGTGATCGCCCTTGGTAATGCTTAGGTTTAGGATTTCTCATTTGATTTAGTTATCTTAAAGTTGCTTGTTGCACAACTTAGTCATTGTTGGTTATTTTTTGTTGGATTGTATGAGCTCTTTTCTGGTTGATCCTAGCCAGGCTATACTGAGGAAATAGGTCTTTATTTATAACTGACAATCAGCTTAAAGGTGGGGTAAGTAAGTTTGAGAAACCGGCTCGAGATACACTTTTTGTTATATTCCATGGAATGCTCTTAACATCCCGATAGCAATGAATATCTTAAGTGCTTTGACAAAAAATCCATAAAAAGATATCATCTGTGGAAGCCGTGGTACTGTAAAAAGTACGACCAATCATTTTAGCCGGCCCGGGTAAAATAACTGGATGGCCTACCTGCCTGTCAGCCTTCCATCTGTGCACAAACTTATCTCGTGCCCTCATTGGTCATGTGCGCGTTCGTGTGTGTTGGAGGAGGGGCTCTAAAAGGAAGTGGCAGATTTTCTCCGGTTGTGTATTTTCAAATTCTAGCGATCTCGAGCTGGTTTCTCAAACTTACCTACCCCACCTTTAAACCCATCTGTCCATCAATTGAAAACATTATGTATTCTTGTTTTGAGATCCTGTATTAAGTGATAATTACTGTGAATTACCATTTTATATGCAATTTATATAATAAAAAAAAAGTATTATTATTTACTTTTACTTGATCATAATACTCTGGTATTCTTTCTATCAAAGCCATTGTTTTTTAGTATAATTTTAGCCGCCACATGGGAACATAGAGCAGTCAGAAGATCTGAGAGGTAGGAAACAAACGTCCAGGTTAACATACTTCTCCAGAAGACCAACAGTAAAATGATCATCATTGTTTACAGAGCCACTTCCTGCTTCACATTAGATCGGACTTCCTGTGTGAGGAGGGATCATGGTTTATGACTGACATTAAGGTGCTCTGACTGCAGCTGTTGATAAGGAGGACACCCACATACAGAGACAGAGAAACACAGGGTGTATTGAAGTCCTAAAATCTTGTAAAACCAATAATAAACAAGATGATTTGGATATTGCAGAACAGAGTCACATGCACTGAAGTTAAACGTTTGACTTGCGTACATTGTGTACATCTGTGACATTGTCCCTTAAGGAGTCAGGACTTATGGCGCGTTTCCACTACACGGCCTCGCTCGGTATGGCTAGGCCTCGTTAGGACTGGCTCACTTAATGGCGCATTTCCATTACAGTTTAGGAACTGGGGCAGTATCTATAGTAACGCAGTGTAGGCGGAGCCGTGACGTCATCTTCAATGAGAACCCCAGAAAAACAACACAGCCGTTAGCTGTTAGCACTCAGAGCTCACAGCTCCTCATATCTGTTCAGAAACTAGACAAAAGTGAAACAAGTACAAACCACAGACTGCCTGTGTCATGGTGAATACAGTCGCTGCTTTATTTATGTCTGTATAGGCCGTTGTTGTGAGTGTGGACGGTCGGAGCATATACTGCGTTAGCTTAGCCAATCTCCATTTAGAAAACACGCATTTTAAAAGGTTTTTCCCCTGCCGTCTGTCTGCAGACTTGACAAAGCATTAATTCATGGTTTTTACTAACCGGTATCAGTATGTTGTTACTTCGGCATCATTTTGAAACGTGTATTACAATTAAATCACGGTCAAATATGTCCATCTTGTTGTAGTTGTAGCCCCCTTGCCAGCGATGCTCTCTCTAGTTTAGCATACTCAGCCCGACTCAGCCTCGTTGTCTCTGGCCCTAGACCCACGATTTTATGAGGCCAGAAAAACTGTGAATTAGGACCCGCTAGCCGGTACTAGGCCAAGTGGAAACGCAACCAAAGACGGGCCGCTGACGTCACAGCCCTCTTAAACCGTGCTCCGCGCTGTAGTGGAAACGCGCCATTAAAGTCACACCAGAGTCACAACTAACGTCCTTCTTTTGGTGTTCGGTACTGAACATAATGATTCCTGACATGGCTGGCTGGAGAATCATGTGACTATAAGCTAACATGCTAGTAAAACAGGAACATGCTAGAGCTAGTTTGTCACAACTGCGTGTGAACTCTGTTTTGGGCTCTCCAGCTCCATGTTCCCATAAAGGTCAGCACTCAACACAGATTTCTGTTGGTGATTGATGCAAAATCTATGTGCCAAAGTCCGCTAAGCCTGATTCCACTAAAATACTTTTGAGAGGTCACACAGGTTATAAAGAATGCTCTCAGGTGAATAGGATATAGCTGAGGTAGCTGTATTCAGATGTTAAGCGGAAAATCAGATAACAGCTGTATGTATAAGCGCAAGCTAGCAGGGGAGGTAACTATAGAAACCAAAATGTCTTCACGCCCAACCTTGCGGTGAGCAAAGAGAACATCTCGTATCATGTGAATGCATCTTTAGTTTGGGCGTTGTAACTATTTGGAATAAGTATAAAAACCATACTGCATCGTGTAGTTCCGAGCCACCTGCTCCAAAGAAATAGAGGGGAGCATTTCACCTGTCAACACATTTCACATAACTGTATTAGGTTAGTTGAAAGCAGTAATATTAAGTTGAACCTAATATTTCTTATTTAGAATTAATATTATTGCTTTCAACTAACCTAATACAGTTATGTGACATCGGTGGACATAATACATTTAATTAAAGTCAACGTTTCAGTTTTTCAGTGTACTAATGGGTCCATAAAATCCAAATTAACTAAATTACACTAAAAAAAGGAATGTCTCAACGGGCATTTCAACTTCTTATTCCTCTCATTTATAAGAATAAACTCAACGACTAGTTTAACATTTATTCTGGCAATCTCAATATCAGCATCCCTCTTACTCCTCTAAAGAGAATCCTGATCCTAACTGAAGCTTGGTGATTACTGCTCACAGACATACAAATGGAATGTTGCCCTCCTCTATCTGAGTTGTTGCTGGTTGTGTTCCTGCAGATGGAGAGCACTGCCTGAGGCGCAGCGGCACAGACATGATACCCAAAGCCCGGATTAAGACCCTCAAGATGACCGTTGTGATCGTCAGCTCCTTCATCATCTGTTGGACACCGTACTACCTCCTGGGGATCTGGTACTGGTTCCAGCCAAAGATCATCCAGCGCACCCCGGAGTATGTGCACCACATCCTGTTTGTGTTTGGCAACCTGAACACGTGCTGCGACCCGGTCATCTACAGCTTCTACACGCCGTCCTTCCGCTCCGACCTGGCCGACGTGATGGCCTGCTGCTGCCGTCGCCGGGGCAACAACGTCTCCCCCCGCTCTGTGGACCGTCTGTCCCACCGCAGTGGGGGGGCCGCGGTGGAGATGGAGTCTGACCTGAGCTCCAACCAGCACAGCGGGAACCCCAGCTGACGACCCACTGAGGAACCACTCATTGGTGCAATATACCCCATCTTAGTGTCTGATGCCCGTCCATCAGTACGGTTTGAACAACTTGTAGCCTCTAGAACAATAGTCTGACGCTGTGGAACTGTGATGAGTCAGCAACAATAGCCTGTTGTATGTATGCATATATATGATGAACAGTTATTGCAAGTATCAATCTAATATATGCTCAATAAACGTCTTGATGGTTCTGACGGAATTTCAGTCTTGTGTGTTACAACAGGGTTTCTGAATATAACATTTAGGTTTTCACTACATGGTGGTGTGGGGTACAGTCTATCAGTCTGTTCATGTTAGTGGCAGATAAAGTGAAAAGTTCTCTCATTCGTTTTATATATATAATGACTTTAACATTACGGCTGTTGCTTACCCTAACCCTAATCCATTTCATAATTGATGATCATTTTATTTATTTTACCTCTTAATGTGTGTATATGTGTTAGGAAAATATCACTCGACACCGGGATGAGAATCAATAGTCAGGTACTAATTTATTCTTGCAAGAAGGAGCAGAGTTAAGTCACATACAAAGGATATGGTTCAACCCACACACATGAGGTGTGCTGCTCAAAGGAGCAGGAAGTAACATCAAGCTTATATAGTCTAAAGTCACGAGGTACCAAACAGTGTCGTAAATCGGTTTGGCGTCATCAGGTGTCGGGAAGGCGTCGGGACATCTCTGGAAAGGCAGTGTTGCTCTTTGCCCCTCAAAGAGGAGAGGAGACAAAGTGTGTGTGCTCTCGTTGGTATCAACAACATGAATGATGCCCTGCCTTCTATCTCCGAAGAGGCAGCTGCAAGGTCACACAGTGCAAAGTCACACACAGTATCATGCCCATCAGAAAACCCATAATAAAGAAGACACCTTGTATTTTCTCCAACAATATGTATATATCTATATCTGTATTAGTACGAGTATGTATGTGTATATATATATATATATATATATATATATATTCAAGTGGGTGTTCAGGTGTGTATGTATATACAGTATATACACATATGTATATATTTCTTATGTATATTTTTATTCTTTGGGATGGTGAGAAACAGCATTTCGGTCTACCTGTTCGTATCACACACACAGAGAAATGAATAAAACAGTTTTATTTGACAATGTCCTAACACCGCCTCTCTCTATTCGAGGGGTAATATGTTCAGTTGCTCCTCAGTGGAAAGAGTTTTCAATGAAATGGAGGATCCTAATGCTACCTGGAGGGAAATGTAAATGCTCCAAACTTTTTAGAACCAGGGCCTCTGCAGTGGAAAAGAACAACTGACTCGCAATCTGGCTCTGAACGGGCCCTGGAACTGCCTTGGTGGAGAGGGGGATGTTTTGAGAGCTGGGTCAAGTCTTCAAGTCCCGACAGTCAGCCAACAAATAATCTCTAGATCTGTGCCTGAAGACAGGAGCCCACCCTGAGAGGAACACCATCATCATGGTGTGAAGCTGAAAGAACTTCAGGAACAGAGAACACCACCTGTCAGTGAACACCAGACCAGAACAAAGAGCATCCACCATGAAGGTCAAAGGTCATACACCAGGAGTCAGCGCGAGCTATACCTCTTTTACTGTTGTGATGAAAACTTCTGGAGCAATGGAGTCGAACTGATGGTTTATCAAGCCTCCTCCTTAAGAGAGATAGCAGCAACACCCCAAGGCCGTAGACCTATGCCATGGGAAAGGAGACAGTGAAAGGAGAAAGTGATGGACTGGGTTAAAGGTTAGATACCTAAGAAAATATTCCCCAATTTCAAAGGTTTTGGAATCTAAAGCTGAGTCTAAAATCGCCTACTCCTGTACTTACATGTGCTGTTTGGAGTGCATATGTGCATCCCAATGCAAACTATGACAAAATACAGAGCACTAGCAGTACATGGGAATATTTACAAAGATAAAATGAGTTTGGAAAGCAGGACACTTCTCCCCCTAAATAACCGCCATCTTGGCAACATAACGGAAGACAAATGCAGTTATGCTTGTAAACAAAGCACTATACGAACAAAAGTTATAGATAAAGTTTTTTTTGTACTATTTAAGTAACGTAGCCATACCACTGTTTAACTGCCAACTGTGCAGAGGTGGAAGAAGAGATCTTGTACTTAAGTAAAAGTAAAAGTACCAGAGTGTAGGAATACTCTGTTACAAGTAAAAGTCCTTCTCATCAAAATATAGTTAAAGTAGCAACAGCAAAAGTAGTCATTGTGCAGACTGGTCCATTTCAGAATAATATATATGATATGTTTTATAATGATTGATCATTAAAGTGTTCTCAAAGCTGGTAAAGGTGCAGCTAGTTTGAATGACTTTGTATACTGCAGGGTAGCTTGTGAATTTACACTTGATTATATTTCACATCATTCATCCAGATCTGTAAATATATAGGGAGGGATGAACCCCTCTTTAATGGTCACACATGCAGAGCACACCGCACACACAGTGAAATGTGTTCTCTGCTTTTAACCCGTCCTAGTACCAGGAGTCTAGTACTAGGAGCAGTGGGCAGCTATTGTACAGCACCAGGGGAGCAGGGGGGGAAGGGGGAGGTCCGGTGCCTTGCTCAAGGGCACAACGGCAGGGCAGGAGATTTTTAGGTCTGGTCGGGGACGTGAACCAGCGACCCTATAGCTCCCGGTCCAAGCCCCTACTTTTTTATTTTTTTATTTTTTTTAATCTTTTATTATCAAAAATAGACATTTAACAGTTCATCACAATTACATAAAGTACTTACTGCATATAACAAAGACACACATTTAATATGTCATATAGCTTCATAATTTGTATGAATCGCATACATAAAATGACATATACTGTCATTATTTCACTGAAAAGTAGTGTGTCTTAAGTCAATTTTCAAAGTTGAAGCACAAAGCTCCCTCCTCATCCATCTCAATTAATTTGCTGCCATTTACGAAATCCTCACAAAATATGTCCTTTTTCACATGTATGAGAACAAGGTTTATGTCCCTTTTTGTTGTCCTCTTCATTATGTGCCACACGTCAGACATTTTACCCTCGAAATGGGCAATGTTCCTCCTTATCTGGACCGCACGCCTGGCGTGGCTCAGAACATAGTTTAATAGATTCACATTGCATTCATCCTTCTTCTCAATCACACCAAACAGCCACAGCTCCTTCCATTCCATTTCTCTCACATACCATTCATTCCAACATCTACCAATTAACTCTTTCATCCTTCCAAAAAAAACACCAAGCTCTCTACATTCAACAAACTCATGCAAACATGTTTCAACCTGGTCTCTACAAACATCACACTCTCTCTCAACAGTTTCCTCAAAATGACTAATTATCAGATTGTTAAACACCCTATTATGTCTCAACAAAGAATAAAAATGTTCACATTCAATACTGTTCCATTTAATTTTCACATTCTCCCACATTCTTCTACCAGTCAGACCGTTCACAACACTCGTCCATACTCTCTCTGATGCAGGTCTCCTAATAATATCCCCTTTTAACCATTTATACATATTTTTTGTTTTAACATCTTCTATTTTAACATTGACATCCTCTTTCCCCACATATAAATCAACCACACTCTCCTTTCCTATAACGATCTCACTCTCAAATCATTGTTAACCATTCACTCGGCATTCCATCTTTGATTTCTTCCATCATTCGTTCAGCTGTCCCTGGATACATTACTTCATCTATTTCCCTAACCTCATCCACTATCACCTGTGCCTTCATAAAGCCTGGTACATACTCTAAAACTAAATCCTTAACCCTCCTCATCCCCGCTCTCCACATCGGCAGATTGAATAAGGAACACTTCTCATGAGTGATCCTTGGGTTAAGGAAGATCGGCTGCTCCCACACCTGCTGCACATTCACACACTCATACTTCAAAAACTCACCCCATGCACTCATTACTTCCCTTTGATAAGCACTCAAACCTTTCAACATCCCCTTTCTTAGCACCATCAAAATAGCACTATCACCACATCCTCCACATTTATTTATTTGTTCCTTTAAGAATATTTTCCATAACTGATCTTCCTTATTTCCCAAATAGCGAACCATCATTTTAACCCTAATTGCTTTAATTTTCCTTCTTAAATTTATCAGCTGTAAACCTCCATCCCTACACTCATGTTCTAACACTTCTCTAGCTATCCTTACCCCCCTCCCATCCCATATGAACTCACTAACTATCTTATCTATTTCATTCACTACACTATCCGGCACATCTAAAACCGTCATTATATAAAGTGCCCTACTCATGATTAACCCATTCACTACAGCTATCTTCCCCCTCAACTTAAGCCCCCTCATCTTCCAAAACCTCAACGTCTTCACTATTCCATTAATTAACTCTACATACTGTCTGTCCCTACCCTCCACATCTTTAATCCCCAAATTGATCCCCAACACCCTAAAATAATCCTTATTTTCCTTCAACCCTATATCACAAATCCTATCCCTCACCTGTCCTATGTACATCATCTCTGATTTATCTAAATTCACCCTAGCTCCTGATGCCCTACCATACAAACTGAGGCCCAATCCCAAACCACTCCCTCGACCCTACCCCTCCGTGGCGGAGTGAACTCCGTCTGTAGCCACACTCGCAGCTCAACGAGGCTCCCTCCTATGGAGCTAATTTCCTGCCATAACTCCACAAACAAACTAAACAGGTTTTACAAATGCCTTATGATTCACTAACAAACACAATGTGGTTTGCAAATACAAAACACCATCTACAAACTAATGCATTTAGTTTTGCAAAGAAAAAACGTATCTATCAAACAAACACATAACATTTTTCTAATAAATCATGTTTCAGAGACAAATTCAGCTTAGGTTTTACAAGTACACAACTTTTTTTTACAAGTGCACAAATTTGTTTTACAACTACAACACTTTTTTTTACAAGTACAAAACTTTTTCTTCTCACGGCGGAATATTACTGCCAAAAGTCACGTGACTCACTCACGTGACTTTTGGCAGTAATATTCCGCCGTGGCTGGCTCATGCACAGTCACACATGCTCACTCACACATGCTACACGACAGCAGGGGGCGCTACTGAGTCCATTGGGAAGACGGGAGGTTGAGCAGAGCATGGAACAGCCCTTGTCAGTCTGATGACAGGTGTTTCTCGCGATCCAGCGATCTGGGTCAGTGTTATAGTGATAATATTATAAACAAGGTGAATTTAGCGATCAC